GAAGACCTCATCTTCAGATTTCTGGGGGGGCAGAGGGAAATAGAGAAATGGCACAACTGATCTAATACCCTTCAGCTCAGCCGAAGTTTGATACTTATGTCAGTTTTTTCACAAGTTGAAAACATCCGAGTACAAACGGCAAAAAGAAGTCTCAGCAGAAATGATTCTCGCTAGCCGAAGTTCTGCACTTAGCAAATATTTGAAAGATCATTCAAAGAAAGCAGTAAAGTGCGAAGACTGGTAAAGCGAAGAAAAAAAAAATACACAAGAAAGCTGAGAAAGTGAACTTCTTTGAAATAAAAATGTTGAATTACAAAAATAGTCGGCAGCCGCCCACAAGCGGAAAGTAACAGCTGCCGAAATACGTACAGGCAAAATAAAAATATAATAAGCTGTTGTACGATAAGGCAAGCTGAAGCAAAAAAAAACAAAAGGCAAAAATTCAGAAAGCGGCAAGTCTAAAGTTGAGCGCATGATGAACCGCAAGATTCTGAAGACGACTGCCCGAGTTCCTATGCTTCAGCCTGAGGATCAGACTGATCAGCTTCATTGGGCCCAATGGTGGTCTCAGCTCCAGCAGCAGAAGAAGCAGGCTTTGCACTCTGCCGAGCCTCCCTTTCCCTCTGCTCAGCCTCCAACTCCATCCTCTCAGCTTCTTCCTCGGCTTCCTCAGCCTTAAGGATTTCAGCTTCGATTGGAGTGGCATACTTCATGTGAGGGTCTTCGGGATCTTGGACCCATTCAGCACATTTGGACCAGTCCAGCTTCGGCTCAGCATGAAGGCAGACCCTTCGGCACACTCTGAACCCGTTTCTAAAACCCATTTCATACTCTTCTTGGGTATAGATACGGACTTTGAGTAGAGCCTCAGCATCGGCCAACTTCTTCTTCGTCTCCTCCAAGTCTTCCTCGGATCTCTTCAGCTCATCGACGAGCTTGGAGGAGGAGCCTTTCAGCTCGGTAAACTCTTGCTGAACCTGGGAAGCCTCGGCCTGAACTTGGACCATTTCTTCCTTCTTGGCAGTGAGCTGATCCTCAGCCTCTTGTAGCTTAGCTCTTTGAGCTTCAGCAGCAGCAGCAGCCTCTGAGAGTTGGACGTCTTTGGCCAAGAGCAACTCTTCAGCAGCCATTCGGCTGGCTTCAAGAGCCTCTAGACGCTGCTGCACTTCAGCTTGTGCAGCAGTTCCTTCTTGAATTCGGCTCTCAATAGCAGCCTTGAATTTGGAGACGTCCACTCCCATATGCTCCTGGAGGAATTTTTCCCCTTCCATCAGTGGGGGAAAAACCTCCATCTCCATAGCATCGCAGAAGGTTTTCAGAGCTTCGGCAGCTTTTTTACCGTACTCCTCAACCTCCTGCTGCTTCTCTTCAGCTGCTGCTTGCTTCAGCTTAGCAAGCTTAACTTCCTCTTCAGCCACCTTCCTTTCGTGCACAGCAGCGTCTACCCTATCTTGTAGGGTATCAATCAGCTCTACAGTGAGAGTCTGATTGTGCACGAACTGAAAACAGGGGCACAAGTTAAAAAAGTAAAAAATAATAGCTGAAAGGTTGAGTTCAGAAAGAAATCAAGGCAAGGAGAATTACCTGCATCATCAGCAGTTGGTTGGACCTGGCAGGGTCAGGAACTGATCTGCTGGATTCGCCCATCCCAGCAGTGGCCTTCAGCGACCAAATCCTTGCCCTATCTACTTCGGACAGGCCAGCAAAATCGCCGAAGTAGGCTGCAGCACCTTCTCGGTTCTGACCCCATATGAGGTCCCAGATGTGGTCTGGGACTGGAATTCGGGGGGCCGAGAAACCCATTTCTCCAGACTGCAGCGTCTGGAAGGAAGGGAAGGATGACGATGGAGCCTCTTTAGCTTTGGGTGGCTCAACGTCCTCCTCCTTCTCAGAAGAGTCAATTATTGTGACCTCTTCTTCTTCAGGTGTGAGGACGAAGGCCCCAACCTCTCTGGCAATGTCCGCCGTGAAACCCTCAGCACTGGGCATCACGGCGTCTCCATCCTTGTCCTCGGCGGCACTCTCTCGAGCTTCTTCCAGAACCTCTCCCTTAGGTTTGGGAGTTCTCTGATCCACCTCCATCTCGGGGGGTGGCGGAGAGGCCCTTGGGGGTGATTGAGGCGGTGGCCGGGGAACCCTCGGCGATCCATTGCCTTCCTCGGGTTCCCTTATTTCAACGCCGATGGTCATCGGCCTCTGCTGAAAGTCATGAGGGCCGATGATGGCCATCCTTCGGCGCCTTTTCAGAAGGGGCTGCTCGTCCATATCTGAGTCTGAAGACTCTTGTATTTGATCTTCGGGACGAACAGGAGCTTTGCCTTCTCTGTGTCTGTTACTCTCTTCAGACTGTAACAGACAGGGGGGAAGATGAGTGTGAGTAAAAAAAAAAAAAAAGAAGAAGAAAGACAAAGTTAAGTCTAAAGGCTCACCGAGGTCTTCAGCAAAGCCTCGTCTTCTTCAGCTGCCCTAGCCGCAGCTTCTTCAGCAACTCTGGAGGACCCTTCTCCACCTTCACAAGCTTCAATAACCCGTGCAACCTCTTCGGCTGTACGGGCAGCTTCAGCTTCTTCTTCCAGCAGCTGAAACAAGGGATCTCTCTTCTTCCACCAAGGCTTCTGCCTCTGATACAGAGCAACAGCCTCAATTTGGAAGTGGGAAGAGTCTAGGTGAACCTCTCGGCGCCTTGGTTCAGTGATAGGGGGAGCCCGATCAGTTACGACTCGTTCTCGGTTGACGCCAAGGCGAGCGTAATCAATGCCGACGTTGGTCTCGTCCCGTTCTGAAAAAGAAAAGGGGAGAAGTCAATTCAGTTAGTTCGGCACATCACAAGAAAGCAAAATGAAAGAAGAAAAGAGATAATTAAAAGGCCTCGGCCCCAGCCGAAGAAGATTACCATCCCTAAACTTTCGGCTGAGGCCGACAGCTGCCAGCATATTCTCTTGGAAAACATAGTGCGTATCGGGGAGCCAAGTCTCCGGGATATGCTGCATTCGGCCGCTGCCTCCCCGGTTCGGCAGCTTGCCGAAGATGTTCTGCTGATTAAGGTTCGGGTCTGGCCCGCTATCTTCGGGAGGACCTAAACTTCCCATATCAGGATCCGGCTCGGCAAGATACCGGGGAGCGCTGAAAACGTAAGGGTGGCTCGGCTCCGTGGGTGCCCTAACCCAAATCCATTGACCTCTCCAGTCCTTGTCTGAAGAGTCGTTCGGCCACATGGTTAGGAACGGGGGCCGAGACTCAATCCGATACCACCCAGAGCCATGGCATCCGTGCCCACTTTGAATGTTTGGCACTAGCCGATGGAGCCTTTTGAAGCAATGCAGGTTCGGCACGTACCTGAAGAATTTGCAGACCCATAAGTACGTCATTACCCTTCGGATGCTGGTGGGGGTCAGCTGGCACAGGGAAATGTTGTAATGGATCAGCAAGTCTCGGACGAAAACGTCCAAAGGGAACCTCAGCCCATACTGAAGCTGTCTCGTGTACACCCCCACATACCCCGGGGGTGGACGATGGATTCTATCGGATGCTGAGGGCATTCGGCACCAATATCCATCAGCTTCAAAAATGCCGTAGTGCAACTCAATTTGCTCGGCAAATCGATATTGATCGGCGTTCTCTACCCACCATGAGTAGGGGCGGTTCTTTATCATGGCCGAAGCGACTTCGGCATCCTCCCACTCTGAAAACCCTGGGAGGATATCCCAAAGGACAGCGGGAACTTCATCATCCCGTCCTGAAGCGCTCACCCCCTCAGCCCTCTGAGGAGGAGCCGAAGAAATGGGAGTCGCCCTAACCCCTTCAGCAGGGTCAGACTCTGTCCTTCGTCCATTCCAGGTCCCAATCCTGTCCCTGGGATCGGGGATTAGCCTTGCTCTCCTTGGAGCACGGGCTCCACCTCTAACTCCCCTCACCATTGACGAATTTCGAAGGAAAAAGTCGAAAAAGGGGAAAGAGTGCAAAGTCGAAGAAAAATGAAATAAAATCAAAGGAATTTACCTTGATCTGAAGCAAAAGCCGCCGATTTACGAATTGGTAGTGACAAGTCTCAGCTTCTAAGCTTAATGCTCGGGGAATTTGCGAAGTTTTGATGCGGGCTCTTGAGCGTTCTTGAGAATTCTGGGTTTGTGTTGATGAATGAGTGGGGAGAGAAGACGCGCCTCTATTTATATCTCCAGAAATGGGAATTCAAGGAGTCTGCGTTTCAATTTCTCTCAAGCACCCCACTAAGTAACCGTTAAACACACGACCTTGCAGTTAAATCGCCCACTACCCATCCAACTTCCGCAATTATCCACATTAACTGTTGTTATCTCATTAATCATGGGTTAATTACGGTTTAAATTCACATTTTTGGATTAACAAATCATTCACTTCCCTCCTTTTCTGATTAAATCAAACCCGACCCGTCATCCTTCCAAATCGGGTCTGGGGGGCAAGTTGTTTGGGTCCAATTTAGTCCAATTGGGCCTGGTCACTGAATGATCCAATTAAAAGCCCAAGGTTAAGGTTCAACTCTCCAAATGTGCTAAAGTCAAAAATCAACATCCTCAAAGCCATGTCAAGGTCAGTCAACGGCCCAATCAGCTTGGCCCAGCCCAACTGACTTCCGGGCCCAATCCGCCTCCTTCATTAGCCAAGGTATAAAAGCCAACAATTTGGTCAATTCTTGGTAAGACAATAAAGCCTCAAGCAACTAAACTCTTGCACAGCTTTCTCTCTCTAATATACTGACTTAAGCATCGGAGGGGCCTTCCTCGGCGTCCCCCCCGAGGCTAGTTTACGTGTATTTGTTGTGCAGGAAACCCTCGGCTCCTGCGTCGTTCGGACCGAGACCAAGTTCCCTCAAGATAAAAGGATCTTCCGAGATTCGATTGTTTTCATCCGAAACACTAGCATATTCTTTATTTTACGTGAACAAGGTCAACGTCCTTAGCTTGTTAAATATGAGGCTAAATTGAACCTTTAGATTCATGTACCTTGTCAAAATTAAACACGAACCATGGTTTCATCACCTTTTCATGGCTTCAACATAATTTATTGTTCCCTCTTTATTTTAGCTTTCTGCCTTTGTGTTCCTTTAACTACTCAAGCATTGAGGGAGTTTTGGGCAAAAGAATGGGAATGTGACGATACCAGGGGCACCTACACTAGTAATAGTACTTTTAGTTCAAATCTTGGAATTGCATTTTCCAATCTCACGGCCCTCTCTTCTTCACACATCTTCTCCAATGTCACGGTCGGATCGGATGATGATAAGGCTAACAAAGTTTACGCCCTTTATGATTGCCGGAATGATATTCCCCTTGATAAATGTCATGGCTGCATCGAGGATGCTGTCAATAGTACACTAGACATTTGCTATAAAGAACCTAAAGAGGCCGTTATCATATATGAGGTAATAATAGAGTGAACTCTTTTATTTTTCTATTTATGCATCTTTTTTTCTAGCTATTTCGTTGATATTGATCATATAGAATGACAATCTTATGTTATTCCGTTCATTATTGTTAGAAACCAATTATGATGCAATATCAATAGTTTTTTTTTTAAATTTCACCATACACTCGGGTGTACCATGTCATAGTACAAAGGTTATTATAAAGGCATAAAGAACATTGCATACAAATTAAAGTACATGAGGCACAAAAAATAAATAAATAAAAATAAATAAATAAATAAATAAAACCAAAACGATTCCCTCATTGATTTAAGGGAATAATTTGTTAGTTATATTCCTTGATTCATGAAATGGATTTATGAAATTTTAAATTTTGAATTTTTGAAATTTGTAAAATGAAATCTTGAATTATCTTTGATAGATTATAATCTTAGATTGAGAAATTCTGGAAAATCAATATTTTAAACTGATTTTGACAATAAGGGCGTGTTCGGCAAAATATAGCTGTGAAGGTAGCTGTAGCTGTGGAGGTAGTTGTTAGCTGTGTAGGTAGCTGTTAGCTGTCAACAGGCTGTTAGATGTGAAGATAAATAATTTAGATATGAGTGTTCGGTAAAGTAGTGGTTGACTAGCTGTTAAATATAAAAATCAATTTTTTATTTTTAAAACTATAGATTAAATTTTCAACAGCTACTTGAAAAGCTACCTCTAATTTCAAAAGCTAATGTTTCTAACTTTTCACAAAAGCTACCTCCACCACTAAAAGCTACCCTAACCACTACTTTGCCAAACACTCACATTTTTTGTTGAGTAGTGGTTTGACTTGGTCAAACCACTAAAAGCTACTCAAAAGCTAACGCCGAACACGCCCTAAATGTGTGGTAAAAACCAATTAGTTTTTTTTTTTTTTTTTTTTTTTTGAAACAGTAAAAATCAATTAGTATTTATCTATTACCTTTTTTTAACATTAGTTTCTCATAACTTACCATGTTCTTTATATTTCAATGATATGTTCTTTTATAATTTAACGATGTTCTTTACATTTATAAGCTACATTCTTTCCGATTTCAAAAAAAAAAATATACTACTCCCTCCGTTTTTTTTATATGCATCACTTTCCTTTTATGGGTGTTTTCTAAATGCATCACTTCCTTATTTGGAAACTTTATACTATATTTTATCATTTCTCTCTCTTACTTTAAAGCCCACTTAAATTATTTTATCATTTCTCTCTCCTCTATGGTCCCCACTTATATAATAAAAATATCTACTCTCCCTCACATTCTTTCTCTTTTATGGTCCCCATCTTATTTATACTATAATAAATTATTCATCCACACACAATATTATATTACCCTTCTAAAACTCCGCGCATCACCAAGTGATGCATATAAAAAAAAAAACAGAGGGAGTATATTCTTTCCGCTTCATACTGCGTGTACCATGCACATAATACACCCGGGTGTACGAATGAACCAACCAAATATTTTTTTTTTTACAGGAATGCATGTTACGCTACGCGAACCGCATGATCTTCTCAACTATGGAACTCACCCCAAACTATACAAATTGTGCCCTAGTCTATTTCATCAACCGTGGGATCAAAGGGGATATCAAATCAAACCTCGAATCACTAATCGATGAAGCAATCACAGAAAGTTCATCATCGGTTTACTTTGCAATTAAAAACGGGACCGAAATAGTAGATAGGGACTTTTATTTTTTGGTGCAATGTACACCAGATCTAAGCAAGGTACAATGCAAGGAATGTTTGACGGATGCTTTAAACTTCACGGTCGAGTCGTGTGCGAGTGATAACCGATTATGGGGTCAAATTAATGGACCAAGTTGCCAAATGAGATATGATGTTAATCCTTTCTTTAATGTGTCGTCGAACCTTATTTCACCCTCGCATTCACCTCCTCTAAATGATCAAGATATAGAAATTTCAGGTCAACCTTCATTAATTTCCATCCCAAAGCTTTCTTTATGTCTTTTCATAATTTTAATGTCTTTATTGTATGTAATGCAATAATATTACATGTATTACTTTTGTATGTGTGAAAAAGAGAAGACATTCTGCCCCTGATGTACACAACAACAACAACAATAACAATAATAATAATAATAATAACAATAATAATAATAATAATAATAATAATAATAATAATTGGGGAAATACTAGTTGATCAGCCTGATTGGTAAATTTTTGCCAATCAGGCACATAAGACATAACTATTGTTTCGGGTGAAAACAATGGACCTTGTCAAAGGTCCGATGAAGTGGAGAAGACTGGATTCGGTCCAAGTGATGTTGGGCTGAAGGTTTCCTGCACAGTAAACACACGTAAACTAGCCTCGGGGGTGTTGCCGAGGAAGGCCCCTCCGATGCTAAAGTCAGTACAGTGTGTAGAAAGAGAATGCTATGCAAGAGAATTAATTGCTTGAGGCTTTGTTTGAATGAATGTACAAATGTAATATTGATAGTTTTTATACCTTTGCATATATGGAGAAATTGGGCCTTAGCTCAATTGACTTGCCTTGTGGACTGATCTTGACATTAGCACAATTGGAGAGTTGAACCTTGACCTTGGGCTTTTAATTGGATCATTTAATGACTAGGCCCAATTGGACTAAATTGGACCCAAACAACTTGCCCCCCAGACCCGATTTGGAAGGATGACGGGTCGGGTTTAATTAATCAGAAAAGGAGGGAAGTGAATGATTTAATTAATCCAAGAAATTTGAATTTAAACCGTAATTAATGAGATAACAACAGTTAAGGCGAATAATTGTGGAAGTTGGACGGATAATGGGCGATTTAATCGCAAGGTCGTGTGTTTAACGGTTACTTAGTGGGATGTTTAAGAGAAATTGAAACGCGGACTCCCAGAATTCCCATTTCTGGAGATATAATTAGAGGCGCGTCATCTCTCCTCACTTATTCACCAACACAAACCCAGAATTCTCGAGAAAGCCCAAGAACCCGCGTCAAAACTTCGCAAATTCCCCGAGCATTGAGCTTAGAAACTGAGACTCGCCACTACCAATTCGTAAATCGGCAGCTTTCGCTTCAGATTAAGGTAAATTCCTTTGATTTTAGTTTATTTTTCTTCGAATTTGAACTCCTTCCCCTTTTTTCGACTTTTTTTCTTCGAAACTCATCCATGGTGAGAGGAGTTAGAGGTAGAGCCCGTGCTCCAAGAAGAGCAAGGCCAATTCCCGATCCCAGGAACAGGATTGGGACCTGGAATGGACAGAGAGCAGAGCCTGACCCTGCTGAAGGGATTAGGGCGACTCCCATTTCTTCGGCTCCTCCCCAGAGAACGGAGGGGCCGAGCGCTTCTGGGCGGGACGATGAAGTTCCCGCTATCCTTTGGGACATCCTTCCTGGGTTTTCGGAGTGGGAGGATGTTGAAGTAGCTTCGGCCATGATAAAGAACCGCCCCTACTCATGGTGGGTAGAGAATGTTGAACAGTATCGGTTTGCCGAACAGATTGAGTTGCATTACGGCATCCTTGAAGCTGATGGGTATTGGTGCCGAATGCCCGTGGCATCCGATAGAATCCATCGTCCACCCCCGGGGTATGTGGGGGTGTACACAAGACAACTTCAGTATGGGCTGAGGTTCCCTTTGGACGTATTCGTCCGAGACTTGATGATCCATTATAATATTTCCCTATGTCAGCTAACTCCCAATAGCATCCGAAGGGTGATGACATACTTATGGGTCTGCAAGTTCTTCAGGTATGTGCCGAACCTGCACTGCTTCAAAAAGCTCCATCGTCTAGTGCCAGATATTCAAAGTGGGCACGGAAGTCACGGTTCTGGGTGGTACCGGATTGAGTCTCGGCCCCAGTACCTAACCATGTGGCCGAACGACTCTTCAGACAAGAACTGGAGAAGTCAATGGATTTGGGTTAGGGCGCCCACGGACCCGGGCCACCCTTGCGTCTTCAGCGCTCCCAGGTATCTTGCTGAGCCTGATCCCGACATGGGAAGTTTAGGTCCCCCCGAAGATAACCCAGATCCGAACCTTAATCAACAGAACATCTTCGGCAAGCTGCCGAACCGGGGGGGCAGCGGTCGAATGCAGCATATCCCGGAGACTTGGCTCCCCGATACGCATTATGTCTTCCAAGAGAACATGTTAGCAGCTGTCGACCTCAGCCGAAAGTTTAGGGATGGTAAGCTTCTTCGAGTGGGGCCGAGGCCTTTTAATTATCTCTTTTCCTCCGTTTTCACTTCGCTTTTTTATGTTGTGCCAACCTAACTGAACTGACCTTTTCCCTCTTCTTTTTCAGAGCGGGACGAGACCAACGTCGGCATTAACTACGCTCGTCTTGGCGTCAACCGAGAACGAGTTGTAACTGATCGGGCCCCTTCTATCACTGAACCGAGGCATAGGAAAGTTCATCTAGACTCTTCCCATTTCCAAATTGAGGCTGTTGCTCTGTATCAGAGGCAGAAGCCTTGGTGGAAGAAGAGAGATCCTTGGTTTCAGCTGTTAGACGAAGAAGCTGAAGCTGCCCGTACGGCCGAAGAGGTTGCACGGGTTATTGAAGCTTGTGAAGGAGGAGAAGGGTCCTCCAGGGCTGCTGAAGAAGAAGCTGCAGCTAGGGCAGCTGAAGAAGACGAGGCTTTGCTGAAGACGTCGGTGAGCTTTTAGACCTAGTTTTGTCTGTGTTTTTTTTTTTTTTTTTTTTACTCACATTCTTCCTCCCCCCGTCTTTTACAGTCCGAAGAGAGTAATAGACATAAAGAAGGGAAAGCCCCTGTTCGTCCCGAAGACCAGGCACAAGAAGAGTCTTCAGACTCAGACATGGATGAGCAGCCGCTTCAGAAAAGGCGACGAAGAATGGCCATCATCGGCCCGCATGACTTTCAGCGGAGGCCGATGACCATCGGCGTCGAGATAAGGGAACCTGAGGAAGGCAATGGATCACCGAGGGTTCCCCGGCCGCCACCTCAATCACCTCCAAAGACCCCTCCGCCACCTCCCGAGATGGAGGTGGATCAGAAAACTCCCGAACTTCAGGGAGGGGTCCAAGAGGAAGTTCAAGAGAGTGCTGCTGAGCACAGAGATGAGGATGCTGTAATGCCCAGTGCTGAGGGTTTCACGGAATACATTGCAAGAGAGGTTGAGGCTTTCGTCCTCACACCTGAAGAAGAAGAAGTCATAATAATTGACTCTTCTGAGAAGAAGGGGGATGCCGAGCCATCCAAGATTCAAGAAGCTCCATCGTCATCCTTCCCTTCCTTCCAGACGCTGCAGTCTGGGGAAATGGGTTTCTCGGCCCCCCGAATTCCAATCCCAGATCACATCTGGGACCTCATATGGGGTCAGAACCGAGAAGGTGCTGCAGCCTACTTCGGCGATTTTGCTGGCATGTCCGAAGTAGATAGGGCAAGAATCTGGTCGCTAAAGGCCACTGCTGGGATGGGCGAATCCAGCAGATCAGTTCCAGACCCAGCCAGGTCTAACCAATTGCTGATGATGCAGGTGATTCTCCTTGCCTTTATCTCTTTTTCAATTCAGCTCTTCAATTCAGGTTCAGTTATTATATATTTTATATATTTTTTTTTTACTTGTGCTCCTGTTTCCAGTTCGTGCACAATCAGACTCTCACTGTAGAGCTGATAGATACCGTACAAGATAGGGTAGATGCTGCCGAGAATGACAAGAAGGTAGCTGAGGAGGAGTTAAAGCTTGCTAAGCTGAAGCAAGCAGCAGCTGAAGAGAAGCAGCAGAAAGGTGAAGAATATGAAAAGAGAGCTGCTGAAGCCCTTAAAACCTTCTGCGATGCTATGGAGAAGGAAGTTTTTCCCCCACTGATGGAAGGGGAAAAATTCCTTCAAGAGCACATGGGAGTGGACATCTCCAAGTTCAAGGCTACCATTGGGAGCCGAATCCAGGAAGGAGCTGCTGCACAAGCTGAAGTGCAGCAAAAGCTGGAAGCTCTTGAAGCCAGTAGAATGGCCGCTGAAGAGATGCTCCAAGCCCGGAATGTCCAACTCTCAGAGGCTGCTAATGCTGCTGAAGCTCAGAGAGCTAAGCTCCAAGAAGTTGAGGTTCAGCTGATGGCCAAAAAAGAAGAACTGACCCAGGCTCAGACAGAGGCTTCCCAAGTTCAGCAGGAGCTGAATGAGCTGAAAGGTTCCTCCTCCAAGCTCGCCGATGAGCTGAAGAAATCCAAGGAAGACTTGGAGGAGACAAAGAAGAAGTTGGCTGATGCTGAGGCTCTACTCAAAGTCCGTATCTATACCCAAGAAGAGTATGAAATGGGTTTAAGAAACGGGTTCAGAGTGTACCGAAGAGTTTGCCTACATGCTGAGCCGAAGTTGGACTGGTCCAAATGTGTTGAATGGGTCCAGGATCCCGAAGACCCTCATATGAAATATGCAACTCCAATCGAAGCTGAGATCCTTCAGGCTGAGGAAGCCGAAGAAGAAGCTGAGAGAAAGGAGTTGGAGGCTGAACAGAGGGAAAGGGAGGCTCGGCAGAGTGCAAAGCCTGCTTCTTCTGCTGCTGGGGCTGAGGCCACCATGGGGCCCCACAATGCTAATTAGTCTGATCCTCGGGCTGAAGCATAGGAACTCGGGCAGTCGACTTCAGAATCTTACGGTTCATCATGCGCTCAACTTTAGACTTGCCGCTTTCTGAATTTTTGCCTTGTTTTTTTTCTTCAGCTTGCCTTGTCGTACAAACAGTTTATTTTTTGCTTCTGTACGTATTTCGGCAGCTGTTATTTTCCGCTTGTGGGCGGCTGCCGATATAGTTTTTAATTTATTTGAACTTGTAGCTCAATTTCTGAGCATGAATTATTAATCTGACATTCCTTTCTTCAACTGCTTTGTCTTACTTTGAATGCTTTACTGTTTCTTCAATTCTGCTGAACGTAAACTTGCACTGGTAGTGCCTCTTGCCCCCCCAGAAATTGAAGTATGACTTTAGCTGAATAAACAATTTCTCTATTTCTTAAAAATGGGTATCCGAAACACGGGGCCAACTGAAGGCAATGCTTCGGATAATGGCTTTCTTGGATACAAGGCTCAG